TTCAAGGCCTGAATGATCGCCTCATTAGTCTGCGTTTAGAGCTATTGTAAAAGTAGCGAGCCAAAACTATAAATCACACAGCAATTCATGTTCGACCATGAAAACAGTGAGATATTTTTACTCACAAATAACCTTTGATGATTTGTCAAGCAAATTCAGAATCATTTGCGAAAGTTATCTCAACCTAAATGATGAAAACCCAGTTAGACATCTGTTGGCAAGAGTCAGTGGAAGCAGTAGCCCAAAGCGAGACATTCTTCTGACAAAAATGTTTATTATTTATTCATAATTTGTGCACGGAGCCAACGCTGTAAGCAAAGTTTTGAATACCAATCAGTGTCAGTGTCTGCCTGGGTTAAAACTGAAGATCTTGTACAGTGCAGTTTGATGGGGTGTAGGCACTTGGACACTTTGTTAATAAGATATAGGCCAGCTAGCCAAACTTGAGAGTCATGAGCCAGACAGATTATCTCTTTTGAGACAGTTGAAGCAATTTATTTATTTATTTTTAAGATTTGACCATGACTTAGAGCAGATGAACCATGAAATATTTATTCGCCTTATTCAGGAAGATGCCATGATAAATAAAACAGTTTAATCTGCTATGTTCTCAGCTAATTTTAGATCTGTTTTTTTGTGTTAATGCCAGAATTCAGTAATGTTTTATGTCCTGATGCAGAGTGAAGGCTTCTGCCAAGGGTGCGGCTCTAATGCTCGCACATATACTTAAGCGGGAGATCTTACTGTCCTATTTATTGAGTATCAAATCCCTCTCTCATTTTTCAAAACTGAATCATTGCTAGAAGTTACATGACATAAAATCAACCAAAAGATGAACAGCATGGCGCTAAAATGTTTTAAAGTGTGACTCAATCAGTACGCAGGTAAATAAACTTAAAATGTTTGAATATATATATTCCCTATGTTTACAATATAATTACAGTATAATACAGTATAATAATTATCAGTATAATTCAACTTTCTTTGATTAGTTATAATGTTAATGGTGCACTGTGTAACTTCTAAGGTAGAGTGTCTGTTAGTTCCTTGTCTCCAGGAGATGTTATTTCTCTGCCTGAAATGTTCCACAGTAGGTCATTAAACATATCTCACTTGCATTTGGTCAATTACATGTGTTTTATAGCTCAAGCTTTACCATGTACAGGCTTGCTTCTCCATAGATCTAACCAGTAACCTGTCTCCATTGTGATTATCAAGTTTATCTCCTCCATGCTATGCAATAATTAAGGTATAAGAGTAATATCTCCATAGAGACAAACATAGGTGGAAAAGTTACACAGTACACCTTTAATTATTGTCCAATAAATAAAATAAAATACAGTTACTAGTAATGTTTCTACACTATAAACTAGGAACACCATCTATCTGGCGCCAACCCTGAAGAGAGAAAATGAACCCATGATTCTTCCTATGATTCATGATGCTCGTTCATGCATAGTCTTTGTATTTGTGTGTAACTTGTTCTGTGCTACTTATGAGTGTGTGTGTGTGTGTGTGTGTGTGTGTGTGCATGGGAGGAGTAGGTATTGACAGATGGCCTGCTCCCCGCCAACCGTGGAGAGAGAGGGAAAGAGCGGGAGAGAGAGAGAATGAAGCACAGACAGAGGGAGCGAGAGAGAATTGGCTTCTTCCCCATCTTCCGTGCCTTGGTTCCACAGGGAGGCGTATTCACTTCATGGTCACACTTCTCCTGCTAATCGATGTGCCCACTCTGCTTTACTACTCTTTCGTTGATTCCTTCGCTCTCCATCCTCTACTACTCGTGTGTTGTTGTTGATCCACTCATCTGCTGCGTCCCTCAATCAGACAATGACAGGTGGCTGAGTTGTCGTGTGTGCCAGTCCCCCCCGTCCTCTCCCCTCATCCCCCTCTCTCTTCTTTTCTCCCTGTCTGCTCTCGTGTGCTCCCTGAGATAGATGGACTGCCAAGGCTCTCCCTGTGAATTTCCTGCTGCAGGGTGTGATCCGGTGCTACAGTTTTGGCCGCTTTGGATGATGGGTATTTTTTCTGAAACCCTCCAGAGAGCAAGAATTCACCTTTCCGGTTGGGGATGTGGGGCAAGGGCGTTTGTGTAGGGAGGACACACACATACAGTGCAGAGTGGAGTTAGTGAGAAGATTGAGTTAGCTATACAACATGGTTGTATATTGATTCAATTTACTCCAGAGTGATTCTAGTTGAATCATAAAATCAATCCGTCATTTAGAGTGATCTAATATAAATCAATGTAAAGTTGAAAATAGTGCCAAAATCCAATTACTCACATCATTTTCTATTTTCAGCCATTGAATTCAAAACAAATTAAACACAGACCAGTGGATATTGCCACTGTGACCCTGAGCACAACACCTCACACAGCTTCTTTATGAGTCACAACAAATTTGATATCCTATTCACTAGAGCAGTAGGCCTTAAGCGATTTAGTGGATTATCGTAATTGGTCGATGGAATATTAATTGACCAAACTTTTACATTAGTAGACTAATCATTTTATTTAGATTATACATATTTATATGGGACAACAGCAGAAAGTAGAAGTTAGTGAGTGACTGAGTTAGCTGAACATTTGGTATTTTGAGATAATTTTGTCTTTATTTGTAAATGCAAGGTTTCCTAGTGTTTTGTTTTGGGGTTTTTTCTGCATAAATAGTGTTTTTTGCATGAACTTCTGTGTGGTTGTGGTCTTGTGAGTGCAGATTGGATCAGATTTGTAATTTTGAGAGCTTTTATCATACCCCCCTTTTTAATCAACTAATTGATCACAAGGACATGTCTTGATGTCGACCAAAAATGTCCTTTGTGGACTGCAGCCCTACTATATGATACTGTATATAATCTATTCTTCACATTTTGCCTCTTAGTAAAATCCTCACTCACCTCCTCATCTACTGCTGATGACATAAAAAGATGTTTCCAGTGATGATGACATAACTGACTGCTGATGATATAAAAAGATGCTTCCAGTGGTTTGTTTGCTGCACTAATCAACATTCAATTTATCATAAAAAAGGAGCTGTGGGACTGGCATTAAGATGGACCATAGAAAAATACCTTAAAGTCAGCAAATAGTTAGCTTTATTTATCATTTCTTGGTATGAAAGAAATACCAAAAATGAGCTCCCAGGAGGAAAAGTGGGTACGCCCCGTCCACACTCCTCTTCCTCCATTATTACAGGATTTAAAGGTAGAACTTTTCACAGGATTGATCGCACTGACCCTCACTGCACTCTTCCCCAGAGCCCATAGGTACGAAAGTCTAACTGGCACTGTATGAGTGAAGGAGGAAGGTTTCAGGTTTCTCTGTTTGGACAAAGCTGTTTGCATTGATTGGTGTAAGATGTGTTAAGTTTCTGAGTTTTTTATATGCTTTAAACAGATAATAATTGACATGTGAAATGTTGGCAGTACACAGACAAGTTTTATTTTTATTCTAATTGTTTTGGCTGTTCTTTTTCAGGCAGCCACAGTAAATCACATGCTTTCACCTACACCTCTATTCTATCAAAGCAACCACTAACTTAATGAGCCTTTTTCATTACATCCATAAATCTTTCTCGTGGTCCCTAACCTGAGCATCCATCTACAAATGTGCTTTTCTTAGCACATGTCAAACCAGCCCCAATCAATGGCCGTTCCATCCTCTCTCTCTAAATCTGTCTCACTTACAGAAAATTATCCCTCCATCTTAACCTCTGCTTCCTTTATCTCTGCCTCTTGCCTTTTATTTGGAATATTTAATCAAACTGCGATTGTGTTTTAACACTGAGATACAGGCTTATCCTGAAGGTGACCTAAATGGGGCATGTTTAATTCATATTAGATAGGCTTGAAGCTGCATTAGGCGGCTTTCTCACAGTACGCCAAAAGTGAATCACTCCCCACCATTACCATGCCCTGTCCCTGTTGCTAATAGTATCTGGAGTTTCCACACCATTAACTAATGCAGGATTAACGAATTTGTTGGCTATACATAAGTGTAATTAGGGCATGAGAAGATCAGGCAAATGTTACTGATACTCGGATTATTATAAGGTTTCTTGCTTACCGAAAACTTTTGTCAATCACTGTAAAGCCCAGTTGTATCTGACTAAAATAAGCTGTTATTCTTTGATTTCTTTAGTGATATTTCAATGTTTAGCTTGGGTGGTGTGCTAAACTAATGAGGTCATTCATTTTCTTTTGTTCAGTTGTTGCATGCTGCTCTGAAATAACTAAAGAACTTTGAATCTTTATCTTAATCCTTATTGATTTGGTTGAACATTTTGTGTGTGGAGAGAGAACAGTCTCTGTCAGCTGCAGCTCTGGAGACTGGTGCTGCATTGGGCCACTCAGGCTAATTGAGCCTGTGTGACAGGGGCCCCAGTGGGACAGTGGTGGTCCCTGTTAAAAGGGTCAAGACATTCAAAGTGAAGTGTGATGTTTGTGAGGTCTCAAAGCCAGATGTATGCCTGCATTCTCTCACGGGGCAACAACAACTACTATAGAAACTTCAAAAGTACAGGGACGGTTCCTGTGGCTAAGACGACAATAGGAGATGTGACAAACCAATTTCATTCATTGCACAGGGAAATAACATTAAGGTTCAAGAGTATTATACTGGTACATTAATTAAGTCATAAATGTTGAGAGGAAACATGTTTCCTTCAGAGTACAATAAGATATTGTTTTTTTTACTTTGCCCTTATACTTATTTGGTGCTTGTCTAGTCCATGGTTCTAGATTTAGAGCCAGTTTAGTCCTGTTTTTGGTGTTGTGTATGTGAAAGTATCAACAAACCCATAGTATAGAAATTATGTTTCAAATGTAGTTACAGTGATTCCATTAATCTGGATACCAACAAACACCAATGAGTCTTCACCATAATTATGAGGAAAAAAGACAATGTTACATGTAGGTGGTCTTCAGTTCTCTTTTGGTGACATCTCCACACAAAGGTATTGATTTATGCATGCTCATTTGCATATTCCTCCCATTTGCAGGACCTATCCACTCTCCAGTGCGACGTGTGCATCCTGGTGTTCTCGGTCACTGACAGACGGAGTTTTCACCGCATCGCCCAGCTCCGCCTCCTCCTGCGGGAATCCCAGCCCAACACTCCAATCATCCTCGTGGGCAACAAGAGTGACCTGGTGCGCTCCCGGGAAATCAGCACCGAGGGTGGGTACAGGAGGGGAGTGTGAGTGCTACCCCAGGTGTCACGTATTCAGCATGTTGCCAACAAGGGACACCAAACCGCTACACAAACAGCTACAATATAAAACTGTTTATAGAGTTTGACATCATGTTTATTGATTTGTGCACTTTTCGGGAGGAAGTGAACATTATGTTCTTCCCAAGCAACAAAACTATTAAGGATATAACTTAAACAATAAGAATAAATACGGACTATATTGTTTGTAATTAAAACATTTTAAAATGAACTAAAAAGAAACAGAAACATTTAGTATATCTCTCAAACAAGGGGAGAATATAGTATTTCTGCCCTTTTGTGGTTGATTTTATGGTCCATTCACAGATTATGCTAGACTTAAATATCAACCAAGACACACACACATTTAACACATTATTGTTAAAATATAATCTGAAAACAGTTATTGAGATAATATAAAAAATAGATATTATCAATATAATTATGGGCCAGAGCATCTCCAAAGCCAGCGCACAGGGCATCTAAATACAGTGCTCTATGTTGCATAAAAGCAGCATATTTAGCATGCGGTCATATAACTCATAACTAGAGCCCGACCGATATATCGGCTGGCCAATATTATTGGCCGATATGGGCAACTGGGGACATATCGGCTATCGGCCGATATGCTTGCTGATATGGGCCGATATTTCACGTGGGCATGTTATACCTCGTTATAAAGCTTAGACTCTCTACATTATGTTAATTTAATCCAATTTACAGACATAAATGTCCTAATATGTGGCTCCGCCTCAGTATTTATCTGCGGTGTAATTTGTCTGTGTCTGTGTCCGTACTGTCCCTGAACACACCACAGAGTCGCGTCACTTCACTCACGTGCTATTGTTTACACCCGCAGCGGTACACAACACTGAAATTATATTCTTTTTACGGACAATCGGTTTGAGTCTGGATTAAAAGGACTTTATTAGTGCAGACTTGTGATGTGAGGAGGAGCCTGTGTGAGCAGTGAGTGTTGGAAATATATCGACTTTGAAGCTAGTTTTGGCTATTTGTTATTAGCGATTAGCTGCTGTAGCTCCCACACATAAATAGGCTGTTTTCTATTGGCCTATTGTAAAGTGACTATATTGGCCGTATATTTGCTACTGGACCTGCATTGATATGTAAATGAACTGTGAATAGACATGTGAATGATCCACATTTATGCATATAATTAATTATACGGCGCCCACGTTTTTACGGCTAAAGACTAATAGCGGTAGTTTATTTACTAGCTAGGAGTTATGGGTCGGTCGCGATCGAAGCGGCTCTTAGAGCCGGCTCTTTGAAGTGAACAACGGGAGCATGTTTCTTATTGGGAGCCGTGTTTTCTCTTTTTCTCACTTTTTCTCTTCAAGTCGCTTGTAGACCCATAGTTTGACAGCAGCAGCGGCTGAAAACGAAACTTTCAGAAATCTGCGTGTGCATAGGATAAAAAAAAAAAAAAAAAAAAGTGCTAATTTGGCTGCAGTTCAGCATAAAATGAATAAACCAGGACTAATCTTGGGCTCGAGTGAGGGAGAGACCGAGTCCTGACACTCAGTCCTGGTTCAGTTCTGGTTTAGTTCTGTTTTACACATGGTTTAATCTGTTTTAGTCCTGGTTTAGTCCTTTTTCAGTCCTGGTTCAGTTTTGGTTTAGTCCTGCTTGCAACAAAACAATCTCAAGAGTCGCTTGGGAGCCGAAAGAGCCAGCTGCTTTAGTGAGCCAAGCCAAAAGAGCCGGTTCTCCAAAAAAAAAAAACTGGAATACCCATCACTAGTAACTAGAATGTGATGCAAAAATCTACTGTATGTAAATATGATGTAAAGAGTCAGAATAACAATAAATGTTGCCTAAATAAACCCAATTTAGAATCTACTAGAGCCAAACCAAAGTTTTTTAAACAATTCAAGATTTACTGTAAATTTTTACATCACAAAATATATCGGCGATTATATCGGCTATCGGCAGTGCCAACAACCATTATATCGGTTTCATATCGGCCACAGCAAAATCCATATTGGTCGGGCTCTACTCATAACCCTCTTAATGTCTATTTACTCAAGCATTCAAGAATATCGGTTTATTACCAAGGCCTCAATGTAATTATCAAAATAAATCAAATGCTAATGCAGCAAAAAGCATGCTTACAGCTGTGGCATGAGATTACTCATGTATTCAGTCTCTTAGCCTCTTGTTGTGTGTCTTGACTGTGCCATAAATCTTCCCCTTGGCCCACACTGTCTCCATTCTACAGCCCCAGGGACAATGTATGTTTGATCAGTGAAATCAATTTCTGTGTTTACATTATCCAGGGATAAATGCTCAGTCGGGGTACTCCTTATGGGCAAAGAGCTGCATCATTACTCTCTCCAGTAGATGAGACTGGTAATGTAATGTGCCAACAAACATGTTCACCCCAGAGGCTTCTTAGCAACTTTGATTATTTTAACTGATTCAGACAATAACCTTGACAGTAAACAAAAACAAATGGATTTTATTCATTTGTAAATCTGGCGTTGACACTGATGTGAGTTGATTCTTCATTAGCTCTGTCATGGGACTGTCTGTGTTTGTGATCAACTACTTCAAAGTTTGCTTTGAATTGACAAGATTTTTAATTAGATTGTTTAATAATCTTTTGGCTTATTGTCCAATTCCTTTTTTATTGTTGAAGCAGTGTGACTCGTTTTATCATTTTGTGGTGTTGATTCACTTCATGTGGGATTTCTGTGCTTTTTTAAATGGCACATTCTTGTTGATCACATTCCAATTCTGAAGTCATTTTCTTTGATTAGCTTGGGTTATTTAATATCAAATGAAATAATTTTACACTTCTGTTATTTATCTACTATGTTTACAGTGACAATAACACTGCAGAATTTAATGATTTGTTTTATAAAGTAATACATTTAAGTTTAAAATATATTAATATTTTTCTCTCTAACAACTAGAAAGTCTTAACATCACGTCTTCCCTTTATCCAAACCACTATTTAAATGCATTGAGGCCCTCTAGCCTGCAGCCCCTCAGTAACAGTCAGGTTGTATTAAAATGCTGATTTGTCATTCTGGTCAGCATTTAGCTCTCCATTTTGTACCACTTCAATGCCTTCACATAGAGATGGCCAAATATTGTATTAGCAAAAGGGAAACTCTGCCACAGTTTTGAATTAATTTATTCATTGCCAAACATCCCTGCGGCCAGGTCGGTAATAATCTAACTGAACTTTATGAGTGGAGTTTATAAAGGCTTAGCAGGACTGCACATGAATGAATGTTTGGAAATAAAAAGCGTTGAACTAAAAGGGCAGCATCAGACTTTATACATATATCCACTGCTATACCCATACCTGTTTACCAGCCCCTTCCATTACACTCTTGGCACATTGCTAGTCGAGGCACATCTTTTAATGGAGCTACCGAACCAGAGCTCTAATACCCTATCTCATCCACTCAAGGTGCTCTGGTGCATTGTGTGTCTTGGATTATCTTGCTCTTACAGGTCTAACAGGCTACTCTGACAACCATAATATATGTTTGTAGTCTCCATAGGGGTACAATAGTAGGTATAGTAAGTGGACGTCTTCACACAGGCAGAAACACAGCCTGACGTATTGTTCGATCTTCTCCTGTCAGTGGTAGCGAGGCGGTCAGAGTGAGGGGAGACAAGAGCAGAGTGACAAAGGCAGGCCAAATGAATGGTGTGTGAGACTGTTTGTAGGGGTGCTTGAAGGAGTGAGTTTTCACAAAAAATTCAAACCGTTTTTGGCTGTACTACTTATCAGAAACTACTATATTTTTCCTATCCACTTTAAAAGTTATGGGAGCAGGAGCACCAGCTTCCATCTCAGAACCTCGAGATTTGGAATTAAGAGATCCTCAAACAACTTTTCATATTTTATGGCCCACAGATATTTATATAATGATATATATAAAGATGTAAAAAAAAAAAAAAAAGTGTATAGGGTTTAGTGTGTATAGTGTGAGAGAGTAAATAGTAGCAACTGTTTAATGGATTAATGCCGACAGTGGGTCAAGTCATAGATGTTGGCAGTTCAATCTAAGCTCCAGCCAGTACCAGTTTGCTTTGTTATTGTGTCCTCGGGCAAGGCACTTGTCCAAGTGCACAGTGGCAAGTGAGTGCAGGGGTCTTTAGCACACACTGGCAGCGAAATCTCAGCTCCTTGGCAGGTGTGCTTACAGGGCTAGAGTGTGAAGAATGAATGAATAATGAAATGTAAAGTTTCTCTTCCAAAAAGCACTGTTATATAAGACTGATGAATTATTGTCACTGTTTGCATTAGAGAGACAGACAGAACAGGATTTCTTCTTCTTTTTAAACTGTGAAGTTTATACTGTGGCACATTTAGAATATATTTCTTCAAGCAAGTTTCAAGCACTTGGAAAATGTCTCTCTTTTTGCCGTACTATATAACTGAAAACTGAATGAATCTGTGCCCCACTTTCCCAAAGAATGTATTCAAAAGTGGGTTATGTGGAACTGAATATTTCTTGAATTTGGGTTAGAGTCTTGGCTCATTTTTCATTGCGACAAGAGCAAGCATTACTTGTTTCCAAAGACAGAGTTTGTGTATCACTGTGGAAAAGCAGAGCCCACAGTTTGGGGTCAGCTCTAGTTTGTTTTCTTTTGTCTTGCACTATAAACTGAAGCAGCAGGTGTATAGTGCTCTCTCACGGGTGCCTACCACTGTCCTCTCCTCTCCTGTTTGTATCTAATGACGTGAGTGGAGCATGCGGAGGCGGGGAGCAAGCCACCAAACATACTCAGCCACTCAGCACTTTCTCTCCCTGGATAAACTTGGAAGCGTTGGTGCGGTCAGCAGTATGGAAATGCAGTCTTCCTGGGGCATCTGACAAGGATCTTCTTATGTTCTCTTCAGACAGATTTGTGGTGTTCTTCTTGATATGTGAACCTGACACTGACACAGGAAGCGGACTGGCCCGCCTCGATCGTTAACAACCTCCTTAAGGAGCTACAGTCGTAAACTCGTGTTCCCGGCATGCGCAGAGACACTTTTATTATTTAGTTGTCTTTCACCTTTACCCCAATGTACAGGCTAATATACACAGAACACCGAGTGATAGCAGTGCTGCTGACACTGTGGGCCCATTTATCATTGGCTCAGTATAACTGTTACATAGCTGCTCTGTCATTAAATATACACTGACCCCAGTTTGCTTAGTCAGCTTTTACTGTTTGTCTTTCTCCTCGTCGCTGCAATCTAATTTATTTTATAGCTTCATATAACTCTACCCACACTAGTGCAATTTTGTGCTGTATTTCTTTCTTTCTTTCTTTTTTTTGCTGACTTCTGTGTTGTCCTCATGGATGGGTCATGTCTACACTGAATAAATTCACAGGCAGGCTTGTTTGAATACTAGCCACTCTGGGCATGAAATAACCACAACCTTGTTAATGGGCAGAAAATACACAGAGAGAATATTTTGCATAAGATAATGTGACCAGTATGGCTGTGCAAAAATACTGAAATATTGATATATTGTATTGTTTAATGTGATGATACAGTATCAATATCATGGGCTGCTATATCAGTATATCGCCAAGAGTATTTTTTTGGTATATTTTACTAAATTATTTTGTTACAGTGCTACAGTTTTGTTGCTTGTTTGAAAGAAGGAAACTTTTTATTCAACACATTTTACATTTTCAGTCATTTTGTGAATTTTGAGTTGGGCATGTGTCATATTAACTTTGCACAAGTACTGTTTTGAATCAATTTGAAACATATTGTATTAAACTGTACTGAACTCATAATTTTACTGTTTCAAGATATGTATCATGGCCTATGTATCAAGGTATGTACCGTATCGGCAACTTCTAAATAATACCCAGCCTTAGTGACCAGCACGATAGTTTTGTAGATAGAGTCGATATTGTCTCCACACATACACACAGAGAAAAATGATACTAAAGAGCACATAGATGACTGACAAACGCTGTTGTTTAAAGGTGCACCATGTAGCCTTTTGGTTGGGGGTCCATCACCTGCTTGTTTCTGCGGATGTCATTGCTCTGCCTGGAATGTTGTACAGTTTGACATTAAACAGCCTTACCTTACGTTTATTAAATCACAGGTGGTGTTATGGCTCAAAAATACCTACAAATACAGGAAATCTGACTGTGAGCAGGTCGCCTCTCTACAGATCAGATTTGCAACTTGGCCTGGTTTGGGCTTCATGATAGATGATAGAAAGATTTAATTCCACACTGTAACACATTCCAGGCAAAGCAATAACATCTCCATGGAGAAAAATATTTGATGTACCCTCCACCAGAAAAGTTACACAATGCACTCTTAATGTATTCCACAGTTACTACCACAATATAATGTCACCTCTTCACATCCAGCTTCTCCATCCATATTGTGTTTCTAACTCAATGTCCATGCCCTTCTTGTCAAGTCACTTTCCCCAAACACTTTTTATAGCAGTCAATTCACTCAGCTGTCAGAGGTATTAGAGTAAGCTCCACTGATCTGCTTTGGGACTGGTCTTTTTCTCCTCAAACGCAAACTTGGTCCAATATTGTATTAAGAGGCACAGCTGCTCAGAGACTGCGCCATGGCTCAGATCAAATCTACTCCATAAACCAGACAGGCACGCAGGTAGAGTGAGCTGTATTTGTCATATGTGTTAATGTAGTACCAGTCTTAAAATGAAAGTGCATTGGTTATAGGAGTTTTACTGACCATGTAAATATTAATAAGGACTTGATTTTAGTGTTAAGTATTTTTGGAAATGGTGCATACAGTGCAAGTACACATTTTATATCTTTGTGTGGTCTTTGTGGATCTATAAGTAACAACATAAAAGCTATATTTTATTATGTTCTATTGAGTTTTTGCCTCTGTAATCATTCCTATCTGTGTTTGTGTACATTTTCCCCTTAACTGAGCAAATACCACCTGCATAGCTAAAAATAGCATTCCAACTTTTAATATCTTTTCCATCTGGCTTGAAACAAGATACCCTGAAGATTGGCATTTGCATAATATCCACCATGTTCTTGTCAAGACCCTTAAAGGCAGGCAGTTGCTGGTACTAATTGCCTGCGCACCATCAAATCTTGGCAGAGCATGTTGCAACAAGATGATGCAATTAGTAAGGAGTCAATTCAGGTCAAATGAAAATAAAATAACTGATTTCTATATGTTTCATCAGCCATTTATTGTATATTTGCTAAAACTTGTGGGTCATTTCAAATCTCCAAATTACACTGACATTATAATAACAAACACAAATAAAGTTTATAAATAAAGTGCTCCCATTATATGAACATTTTGGGTTTTTCATTGTCTTGATTTTGAAGTAAATAAATAAGCATCTAGAGAGTAGCTACCCTGCTTGTTTTCCAATTGTTTTCCAATTGAATTAGAATGTGAATAGAACACACAAATCTTTTATACATGTTAGAAGGATTAACCTTTAAACTTGTTGTAACATTTGTGGCATTTCTCTAAGCACTTAAATCGTATTATTTTTTAATATTAGAATCATCTTCCCTGTAATACGCATAATTCAGGTCAGTGGTATAAAAAAAATATCCCGTTCTGACCCCATTCTGCAGTCTTTTCATATCAAAAAGCTGAAAGTTTTTGTGCTACTCTTTTGAAAGCCAAATTGGGCATTTTCAATTTGAGTTCTGTTTAGCTCCGAGCAGCAGGAGCAATTCTAAAGCAAAGAAACAAGAATGAAAAGTCAATTTGACGTGACAATGAGGCTTTATGTGTCAGCTCTTCTTATCATCAGGGCGTGTGTGATCAGAGACTGAGCACTGTCAACATCACGTTTAGTCACCTGTCTGTGTCTACGGCAGTCAGATAGAAGCCATTAGCACGAGACAACAGCAGGAGAGGGGCATGTGCCTCTTTCAACTATCACAACTGTTTGATTGATTTTCATTTGTAGACATCAGACCATCCAATCATTTCAAATAAAGTGTAATTTTCTCATGCTGGGGCACATGTTTATTCTATTCCACAGTCGGCAGTAATTGACATATGATTTGCTGTTTGTTTTATTTTTAATACTGAAGTGTTTAAATTGGACATGTGGCATAGTACTTTCAGTTATTTTAGTAACCACACCCATTGAGCTGTATATCTATGTTCATGTTTTCCAAAGCATGCCTCCTTATTGTTTGTATTTCGCTGTGAAATTCATCATAATTCTAATAATCACTTCAGACTTTGGAGGAAGAAATTTGGTTAAAGTAAAGTCTGTATTGTTTATGTTCAAGAAATGAACATTGAAGAAGTATTTTATTTATTTTTGGGTTAGGGTTGATAGAACATAATAAATGTGACCTAACTCAGTTACACTGTATAGCCTCATTAATAGTTTGAACTCTTAACTGAAGTATTGTGTTTCTTTGTTCAGAGGCCCAGTCTAGTGCCATGATGTTTGACTGCCTGTACATGGAGCTGTCTGCCTCTCTGGAGCATGGGACCACTGAGCTGCTGGAGGCTGCTGTTCGTACGGCCCGGGGGGACTGCGTAGGACCGGGCTGGACAGACGGTGATCCAGGAGCGGGGCGCCGGGAAAGCCTTACCAGCCGGGCCAAGCGCTTCCTGTCTGGGCTGGTCCCAAGGTCGTACTGCAGGGAGCGGGACAGAGACAGGGGGCGCTACCGAGAGATGAGCCGTCACCGCGGCAGCAAGATCTTCAGACAGAAGTCACGCTCCTGCCATGACCTCAGCTCACTGTGACACAACGCATAAGAAGCAGAGACCAGAGACTTAATAATACTACAACAGAAACAGCATGTGAAAAGGACAAAGCTCTTTGAACTCAACAGAAAAATAAGCTTATTGGATATAAGTCGCATCTATAATATACCAGTCTAGCATAACATTATGACCACTTGGGTTTGACTGTGGTGGACATAATGTTTTGCTTGATAAATTACAGATGACTGAACTGACAATAAAAGTGTTAAGGGAATTCTTCACAACAAATTGCACACATGAATAGAAAAGTACAACCTCCATCTTTTCTGTACAGTTTATGATGTATACACCGAGGGGGAAAAAAATACAAATTATTTCCTCTTAAGCAACATAATATTAAGAAAAATGAGAGATGAATGCGTCTAAACTTTGGTCTCCTTTCCCCTGAGTTTAACCACTTTGACGAGAAAAGCAGGCCACAGTTTGGGTAATAAACAGTAAACAATAGAAGCAAAATCCTCTACAACACGGTTTGCCTCGGTAATTACCTGACAGAAGCATGGGAATTGGACAGCGGATGGTGGGCACAAATGAAACACTCAAGTAGCACGCACTGATTACTTAGAGAGTAAATAACATATACCTGTTGTAGATCTGTTTTATAGCATGCCAAGTAGAAGACATTACCTTGTAGTTTTTACAATTAATACTGGACTTACTGCACCTCAGTGGCCAGTAGCTAATGCACAATCTAGCTAGTGTCTCTCTAGCGATGCCATGTTACAGGCAAAACCCTTTATAAACAATGATGCCCTCTTCTTTGTGCATTTTATAACCACGCCTTTCCCACTTGTTCGGGCTTCACGTATCATCATCAACAATTCATCTTTTTTACCAGTTTTGCTCCAAGCCATATCTTTGCTGACCATAAGAACCCTTTACTGGAGGATATAGTGAGCATGGCTGTAAAGACATTTCCATTGTTTTTGGACTATACGAGGACACATTAAAACCTTATCTACCTGTTATATTTAATTTGATGTTTATTTTTGAGACTGGATTTGCGCTTGTGTCTCCGCGGGGGCTGGACGCACAGGTGAATGCACATTAAAGACTGGGAACATATCTTCAAGCGTGGCAGCATCTCCAAACATTTTCACTCATTTGTTACTGTCGACTAAGCACTCCCATCTACCCACAGAGAATAAATTACTTTTGTTTGACATTCTGAATAAATGGGTCTTGTCTTGTTTTATGGCAGGAATACAGAAAAGAGGAAATGTGAATGTGGCGAGAATTCAGTTGATAGTGGCTGGAGGCTGAAGTGGCAGGTCGTCAGATGACTCAAGGCTCATCTCCCAGGACTCTGGCTCCATTTAAGGCCATGCAGTAAAAACATGCTGCGTCTGCTTCGTTTGGCTGTAAGGAAATCTCAGGTCATAAATAGAAACAGTATAATATCAACTTCCCCAGTCTCACTTTCCTTACTGTAACAATGTTCTGTACATTAAAACATGAGTCAGTCTTTGTCCTAATTTACTAAAATAATGACTTACTTCAAGATGCGCGATCTAACTTATCCAGAGGGGTCCCAGCCATCTTCTTTGTCTTCATGGAAATGTTATGTAGTATAGCATTAAATGTGTTTATCTTGCCTTTATTCAATTGGAATTGTTTTTAATGCTAGAAAATACCATGACAACATGCATTCCTCATCTCCCACAGATCTGACCTGTAACTCGCCTCCTTAATTCAATACTGTGGACCATAGGCAAAGCAAAAATAATCTCCATAACAACAGATACAGGCATTGTGCCATTCACCACAAAAGTTACAAAGTGCATCTTTAAACAAACAAACAAATATATAGCTTATACAGCTAAACAGTTTGTGTCCAATTAAATGAAAATAGTTTTATGGAAACCTATACACCAAACAGTACAGCACTAATATAATAATACAAAATGTATGTATATTGAGTAACTGATCTGTAATGTTGTCAATATCAGGCAACAGGAAAACTGCAATATGAAGTTAAAGACGGTTTTGAATTAGAATAATCAAATAATGAATCATTGAAATTGTTGGGAAAGTTCTATAAAAGTAATATAAAACCTGTCTTTATGAACAATATTGCTGAAGATGACAACTATGTGTAGAGGTCCCTTTATGTTTAGGAAGAGCTAGTAGAAAGTAATGCATGATGTAATAATACGTAATAGAAACAAACACTAGAAGCTTGGTTTGAACATAAACAGAGCAATTATAACTAAAACAGTGCCTCTAGAGACATGCAATAGTGTGCAAAGCTGATGGATAGAAGAGAGTGTCCATAAAAGAGCACAGTTTAAAATGTGACTGTTGGGTTTGTGTAATTTCTGGAGGACATATTGAAAAATATGTAGTATTTTATATACAAGGTCAACTCAAGTGAGTCTGACAGTGTGTAAGCTTTAACTTTGTCAAGACTGTAGGAAAGAAAATTGCGCATAAACCATAGACATAACTAGAATTATTATGAGTTCTTCCATGTGAAGATGAGGGGTTCCCAGCACGTTGACTTAATAAAACCTGAACAAATGTTTACACATTTGAGCACTGACAAATTGTGATAGTTGGAATTCCTAAATTTACTGTGATGTGGTGATAGTCTGTTGTGGTTAGCAATTTGTCAATGTGGTATAAATATTTTGTTGTTGAAGCTAATGCTAATCTGTAAAAAATACATCCAGAGGTTTCCAGAGTTTGTGTTGTGTTCTTTTTGGTGAATGAAAACAGTTGCTGACACACCCTTGCTGTCTGTCCATCATTGCTTTGAGTAGAATAGTGAGAAACCCTCACTGATCCTCCTCTTGGGGTTGTGATTGGGGACATGGGAAGGCTCTGGAGAAAAAGGGGAACTGGCCGAGACACAGAGGGGAGAGATAGAGACGAGGACGAAGGATGCTTTGAGGAGCAATGGTTGCTGGGAGACTGTTGTCAAGGAGACGAGGAGTCCTAAAGTCCTTTGGCATCTCCACCAATGTCCTGTTTAGATTTTTTTTTTTTTACTGGAGGAGATTCTGTTTATCAGGCTATATTGTAGGAGCATAAATTACAAACCAATTATGAACCAGTGATGAACACAAAGATTAACATATGACTCTTTTGTTGCATACATAGAAACAAGACCCCCTAGAATATACTTTCAAAGCGAATTCAGGCATTAGATGGGGTGTAGCCCTAACTGTGAATTACAAGGAGGCCAGAGATACGAACATAAAAGCCACAATATGGAAAATAATACAGAGAAAATAAATTTTTACACACAAGATTTCTTCATATTTCAACTTGCCTTATATCACATTTACTCAACCACTCCACAAACAGTGCAGATTGTCAATAAACATTTTCCTTTCACCACCTCAATTCCGCCTGGATGAATGTAGCAATGTTATTTGACACGCTGTAATGATAATAATAATAAAAAAAAACTTTTGTTCAGTAAAGCCCTGTCGAAGTTTGCAGACAATGACAGTCTATTTTCAGCGCATAACTTAAGATATGCAGATTTCCCAGCTGTATTACTCAAAGTCTGCTATCTTGGAAGAAAATTTTAAAAGGTTTTTCAAGTGTATCTGTTGAGCCCTGAGCATGGGGAGGTCAGTGGACTCACCAATCACTGGCAGTGTCCTGATATTGAGTGGGAGAGAAGTAAGTGCTCGAATTCAGCAGGGATCCAATGTGATTCGTTATCAAGCAGCAAGTCTTATTGTAGCCTGAAGGTCATTGTTCCTCTGTTTGGTCTCTGGAGTGCACACTGCTATTATAATCCAAAGCATACAACAAAGGAAGAGGGAACAGCCTGCCTGGAAATCACACTCACAATGTTGCATATGTAATTAGTAACAGTTTGGTAAATGCTTTGAGTGGTAAACAGGCCAAGGGAACATATAATAATACCCTTATTTAAACCCTCTGTGCTTGGATGTGTTTCTGGTTGATAAATAAAGCTGAAAACTACAAAATAGACCTATAATAATGACATTTACTGTTTATTTAAAGGTGCACTATGTAACTGTTCTGTTTGGGGATTTGCCATTTGCTTTTCTCTGTGGAGAGTTTTGGTTTGATTTGAAGTTCCTCAATTTGGTGATTAACTTATAGCAATCTATTTTATTGCTCAAAAATACCTTGAAAAACATTAATTCTTACCGTGAGTTGGCATGTCTCTCCATAGATTTGCCCTGTAACTTGACCTGGTGGCAACGTGTGCTTGTTTTCATGAAAATAGATATGTTTACCAGCACTCTAGACTAAGCCCTAAATAAATTATGTGTTGGTACTTCCACCAGAAATGTTTGAAAATTCTGGAGCGCTACTTCTGTGCCTGTCCCCAAGTCTGCTTAAATTGCGCTTGTATAACTATTTGTGTAACTACTTTTTGTATAACTACTTTTTGTCCAAAAAGTATAGACACTGAGTCTATAAACCTCATAGTCAGCTTCTGCATGGATGGCTGATTTATTTAATATTCATGTTGACATGCCAAAATTAAAATACCTGGAACTAACCTCCCTGCAGCTTTTGTATATCCCTGGCTGGATTGTGGAGTCAGTGAAGCGCGTTGTGAAGCCAGATTGCGAGATCCTGCTGAGGTGAGTGAGTCATCGTTGCATCGCTCTAATATGTGAAAGAGCAAACCAATTTTAAATGTTTGGAAATCTAAGTTAACCTGGACAACTCCAAATTTCCTCCCACAATGCAGTTTGAAAGGCACCATTTATCACTAGAAAGACAGGCTATTAAAGGCACAGTATTTTTCATTCTAGAGCTGCATGTCACCTGCATGGTTCCATGGAAATAGAAAGTTAAAACCATATGTTGGAACATTCTCCATGGAGATAGATATGTTTTATGCCATACTGAGGAAGATTTTAGCCAAATGAACAGCATATGCATGGAGGCAAACAGGGGCCTTCCTCCAAATAAGATTCAGGTTTGTAGAGATTTTAACTAGCTAAGGCTAAAGCTAAAAGTAAAGATGCATCTTCATTTTT